GGCCATAGACTAGGTTTTATAAAGACAGTATCCAGTATTTCTTTGATCTCCACAGGCTTCTTGGTGCTTAAGAGGAAAAAAAAGTCTCATAAAGCTATCAACTGAGATGTCGATTTGGATAAAATTCATCTGAATTCTGGTTTACCAGATTGGTTCATATTAGTGTAATGCCCATCAGCTTGATAACCGATGTTGGATATGTACTGTATTTGCTGGCGTATAAGATTACATTTTTGCCCTGAAAAACATGCCTCCAAGTGGGGGGTTGTCTTATACGCCGGGTCCACTTCAGTTAGGATAGACATAGCTGTCCATAGTGGCCTTCCGATGCTTGCCCGGTGCTCATAATAGCCTCCCGATGCCTGCCCACCTCATTGTACATACCGTCCAGTATTGCGCGGTATCCAGCGTGGCCACGGCGAGCATCAGCAACAAGACAGGGGTGCCAGCCTTTTCAACGTGACTGGCCCGTTCTGCTTGGCGGGAAGCAGCGGCGCTCCGGCCCGCCCCTTGTCTATGCAGAGCTCACACTTGTGCACTAGTGCCGGTCACAGGGAGATGCAGGGGCGGACCAGAAGCGCTGCAGTCGTGCTGTGGCCATACAATGGTGACAATAGCACCTTTTATTTGGTGTGTGGAAGGTGTGCGGTAGTGGAAATTTGGGGGTCGTCTTATACGCCAGCAAATACGGTACTTAAATACCCAATAAAACATCTTTCCCCTGAGTTACCTTTCTTTCTTTGGTTGTGATCCCACTTCACCACTGTTCTGACAATTAGGATATGCTGAGACATGTGATGAATAAGCAAAGCTTAGAGGAGGAGAACTTCCAGCCTTGGGTCTGAATCCAGCCCTCCAGAGGTTCTGGAGTGGCAGATGGGTTTCTCCAGATGAATATGCCCCCTTTTCCACATGAAAGCATTGCTTGGATTTTTGTGATTTTATTCTTACTCAGAAATACCTCTCCTCTAAAGCTCAGTTAACTGCTCAATAAGTCCTTTAAGCTACAGTAAAATATACTGGCATTTCGAATATTATGATTTTCCCCTTTGGCTCCACCTGTCAGTGGATTGTGATCCCCAAGAACATATCCAAAATGGAACTTGATGGACTGGAAAAGTTCCCCCACCCATCACTCACAGCAAGAGTGGGCGTAGTGTAAACCTCCAGATATTGTTGCACTTTGGCTTCCACCATTTCTTGCCATTGTTCTGTGCAGATAAAGGTTATGAGAGGTATAGCCCAGCAAACTCTGGAGGGCTATTCTTGGCTCATCCTTTGCTTAAAGCTCTGAAGCAATCTCAGGTCCTCTCCGCCATTAAAACTTCTTGCTCAGCTGTGTTTTCCTGGCTTGCCCTTTGGACTTGATTCTCCTAATTCCTCCTATGCAAGGATGACACTACATTTCAGTTCTAATATTCCCTTCCTGACTCTTTTGTACCCCTCCTTTTCCCCAAGTTGCTCAAAGACCGATTGATTGATTGATATTGATTGATTGTTTGATTGATTGATTGAGTGAGTGAGTGAGTGAGTGAGTGAGTGATACCTCACTTTTCTCCCTTTTAAGACTCATGGCAGCTTACAATAGCCAAAGTTCTGTTCTGTAGCTTACAGTTGTATAAGAGTGATGATGTCAGCAGAAGAGGGAGATTTTTGGTGATTAGAGTTACTATTTCCGCCCACTGCTTGTCCAACTTACGTGTAATCAGTCTTATTGCATTTGAGTTATGAGAGCCCCAGGAGGAACCCCTTAACTGCCAAAACATTCCCTCTGCAATGGTGTCATCACCTCTACATAGACATACAGTACTTGGAGAACACAATTTCGGTCAGTATGATCTGCAAAACAGAGGCAGCTAAAACAAACACTATAAATCATAGTATTAAAAAGCTCTTAAAGAGATTATCACATTAAAACATATGCTAAATAAATGCATTTTTAAAAAATTTAAAAAATAGTAACAGTGGACATCAGCTCTTTTTCCCTGGTTTTTATCCAGAAAACAGTTCAGTGTATAGGTTAGGTGAAGAACCTAAGGGGTGGGGGGGAAACTATATTAAAAAACAAGGGAAATACTGTACTAAAAGCAATGTGTACACACATACAACACTAGCAAACATTCACAGCAAACAAAGCTTCTCTCCTATGACACTTTTTTACAGCTTCTCCTTTGTGGGCTGAACTCCTGTTTGGTTTTTACACCTTAATGGAGTTTTCCTGGTTGGTGACATTTTTTTTCCTAAGATAAGATGAGGAAATGAGTAATTGAGGAAGGAAAAGCTTTCTTAAGGCTGTTCCTTTGAACTGCACCACCTACAGGTATTTCCATAGAGCTGCCATAGAGTTGAAATATGAAGGCACCCACTTAAATCAAATAGACCCAAACCACCTGGTGCAACTTCACAACAAGTGAATTAGAGTGAATTCACCTTTTCCTTACTATTTTGTTGTACCCTAAGATCACCAAATGAGCTACATCCATGCATAAGGTTTTTCCAGTACTGGGCCATAACATTAGCTCATATATCCTGCCTTGACCCTACTACTAAGGGGAAAGAGGCAGAAAATAGGTCCCAGAGTCTGGGTACCAAGATGATTAATTCTCACAGGCTATTGCTCAATCCATTTGCAAACCTGTAATGACAACAAGGCTTTGGGCAAGTGGTTTAGGTATCTGGCTACAGAACTAAACATTGGGAGTTTGATTCCTCACTTTTCCTCTCTGCCAGGGGCTGGACTTCATGATTTATAGGGTCCCTTTCAGCTTTGCAGTTCTAAGATTATTATTTAAATAAACAAAAATAGCAATGGAAAGTTGTTTATTCATCAAATTGTGTCTTCTTTCTAGCCAGAACTTAAAATAGCTGACCCAATCTGCACTTTTGTATTTTCCATATTCGTTCTGGCAACCACCCTGCCTATTTTACGAGACCTTTTACACGTGTTGATGGAAGGTAACGTGTTGTTGTTGTTGTTGTTGTTGTTGTTGTTGTTGTTGTTGTTGTTGTTGTTGTTGTTGTTGTTGTTGTTGTTGTTGTTGTTGTTGTTGCCCTTTCTTACTTTCTTTCTCTCTCTTTCTTTCAACTGCAACACCCCACAACCATCAAATTCTTTTCAGAATAAAATTTTGTTTGTGTTTATAATTGTAATTGTTATTGTTGTCCAGCCTTTTCTACATGATGGGTTATCTATGAGTTGCTGTCCCATTCATGCTCCATTTTTCCTAGCTATATGGAGTATCCAGGAAAGTATATAGAATATCAGTGAACATAGATGGGCATATGGTTGCACCATGTTCAGCAATGATAAAATGTAAAATATGAGTGGCATTCTCCACAATTCTAAAATATCAACTGCCGAATAAGATGTTATTCAGGTTCTTCACTGCCTGTATGCAAAATTCCCTTATAATGGCACCATGGCCAGTATAATTCAGGATTACCTAGACTAGGGGTAGCAGCTTTGGTGGATCTGAGCACCAATTCAGCCTTGACCTACTATTATTTTTATTTATTTTTATTTTATTATTATATTTATATCCTGCCCATCTAGACACAAATCTATGTATTATGGTCCACTTCTATAACAGGTCAAGGCTGAAGATGCTTCCAACCCCCCAATTTTCCCTTAAATTGTAACCAACAATGTACTTCAGTAGAAAATCATCTTAGAGGATCACACTTACTGGAGCCATCCAGAACTGCTGTCCTTTCCCTTTTGTGCTGCTGGGGGTCTGGGCAGGCTTGTAAAAATGGAAAGGGCCTAGTATGTGCATGTGCCTAGGGATGGGAATTTTGGATTTTCTGGACCACAAAAACCATCGCTGTCCATTCTGGAAGTTCTACCTGCCTTTCAGAGATCTGACAAACACCTAGGGGGCAATGCCTCAGTTAGAAGGCTTTGAGCCTTAGGGATTGAATATGAGTCCTTTTATAGGCAAAGCACATGTTCTGTTATAGAGGTACAGACATTTACTTTTTAGAAGATGATAGTTGTCTTTTATTGTCCAGGGATGCCAAGAGGACTTAGCTATGATGAAGTGAAAGGAAGAATTCTAATAATGGATAAAGTAGAGTCTGTCCACAGCCTTCATGTTTGGTCTCTGACAATGAGCCAAATGGTCCTTTCAGCTCATATTGTCACAGGTCAGTCCATTCCAATATTCCCATGATTTCTTGTGAAAACAGTGTATGATGACATAGATACTTTTATTTCTCTATGCACTTTATTTCTTCTAAAGGCTACCCAAGAAAATAAGAGAAAGGGTGAAAAACATCTTACTGGGATAGATCCGGAGGTTGCAACCCAAAGAGTATTTTCTAGAAGTGCATCTCATTAAAATCAAAGGTCATTACTTTCTCAGAGTGAATGTAATCTAATGGTGAATGTGTGTTGTGAGTACAAGTTTTAATACCAAGGTGATTTCGTGAAGGGACCTAATCGGAGGTCCTGTGCTCTGAGCCTCAGTTCTCCCATGCTGTGCTGAGGGTAATAGTAATAACACAGACGTGGAAATGGACAGAAAATCATTCACTGGCTTAAATCCTGTTGCATGTGGCTCAGATGTGGCAACAGATAATGTTTACAAAGATTTCTTTTTGTACAGCACTTCACTTCAAAAGACTTACATCCTTTGAGTAATTGTAGAAGAAGATTTTGGGCCTTCGGTCTTCTTCAGATGTTACTAGACTCCCAACTTCCATCATCCCTACCTACTGGTTATGTAGGCTGGGGGCCACAGAGTTCTAGTCCGACACTATGAGTTCAAGGTTAAAGGATATTGCATTAAATTAATGCATCTCATTAAATTTCAGTGTCAGCCTATCTTGCTCTCAGCATTCCTAGGAACTGCTCCCAGTAAAACTTTAAACTATTCTATCACTTCCAGTTTCTAAAAACCTGTTGTTGGTTAAACAGCCATCCAGATGGGAGATATGTTGCACATTCTGAGCCTTTTGGGCAAGAGTGTTGCTTGCTTTTTCTTTTCATAACATGGAAATCCTGTGTTATAACCACATCTCAATACCTGCAGATTTGCTCCTCCTTTCTTAAGACAAACACCAATCCTGTGCCTTTAGCATAAGCTCAGTTTGCTGCCACCCATAGCTTTTAGCTCTCAATATGTTTATGCTGTTTTAATTGGCTTAATCATGGCACTATCCAAAGCTCTGGAATTTTTCTAATGACGAGTGAGGTACATTTGACTTTTTCAATCTATTGCTACACTTGGAAGTCACAGAAAATAATTTTTTTCCATATTTCAAGACACTTCAGTTGCATAGGAAGACAGCTAATCTCAGAACTGCAAAATATGCACTGCCATCATTAATTCTTTGTGTTCATCTCTCAACAGTGGCGAATGCAGACAAGCAGAACACTTTGAATGAAATTACTGAACTTCTATTTGACACATACAGTTTTCACACAGTTACTCTTCAGATTGAATCCAAAGCAGACCAGAAACCAGACTGCATCTTCTGTCAAGACCCAAGAGATTAAGTTTATCAGGAATCTGTTAAGCAACAGTTATTTAATGAGCTGATTGTCACCAGACATGGTGAAGAAATAACGATTTCTTGAACATCCAACCAAAGTGAACTGGAAACAAGGAAGATTTATAAATACTGCATTATGTTCCTTTTCATGTGTCCTGGTGACAGTTATAATTTTTACCCATATCTATATTCCATTCCAGTTTTGTATTTCGCTCTGATTTGTTTTTACAAGATGAAACAATCACTATGAAAGTTTGCATTTGAACACATATTAAAACTATGAATTTGTTCTAAAAGGTCCACTTCTAAAGGTATTTTTTCTCAATATATGCATTTTAAATATATTCTGTCATTTTCAGATAATTTAGGATATTGCAGGTTTCAGTCCACACATTGGCAGCCCCAGGTTTCGTTCCAAAGATGAAATTAATTAAGGATTCCTTAGTTCATCATGTCCCATTCAACAAGTAAATAACATGGCATTCCATCTTAACCACCTCAAAGGACACACATGCACCCCAACTCTGGAGCAGCTGGGGGTAGAACCAAGAAACGCCCAAAACTGAAGTCCTATAACAATCTAGGGTGTAACTGGCTCAGTTGTAAACAGTAACTGTAGGAATCCTTCAGTCTCAAGAAACTATGGTAACGTGCTCTGAATAGAGGTCTTGGAACAGTGTCTAGTGTGGCTGAGAAGGCCAATTCGAGAATGACAGTCCCTCCCACACTGAAGACAAATGCAATCTGTACCCTGTCCAGCTCCCTGATTTTGCTGGTTTCAGGACTGCCTCTTTGCCTTGGCCTGCTGGACAAGGGTCTCTTCAAATTGGGAGAAGCCATGATGCACCGCTTGCCTCCAGGCTGAACGCTCAGATGTCAAGGTTTCTCATCTGTTGAGGTCCATTACTAAGGCCTTCAGATCTCGCTTACAGATACCCTTATATCGCAGCTGTGGTCTCCCATATAGGAGATCTTTTGAAATCTGACCGTCAGCCATTCTCACAACATGCCCAAACCAATGTAGATATTGCTGTTTCAGTAATGTATAC